CCAGATGGCGAATGGTCTATCCTACGGAATACCCCGCTGGGTCAGAACCAGCGTGGGTCGAGGATGACCGGCCTTTCATCACTCGGATGCTCTTGCATAAAACGCGTGCAGAGCAGCTTGCGCGTCGTCTTCTTAGGCCCCCTTCGCCGGTCCCCTGGCCGACATGTGAGGGAGACCCGAAACACTTAGAGGGCCAGGGCTTGGGCGAAATCCGCCTCCCTGGCCCCCGCTCGACGGCGGCGGGCCTGTGCGTCTCTCACGCACCCCGCCGCCTCCTTCTGCGAGATGGTGCACTCGCAGAAGTCAAGCATCGCCTTCCACGACTCGTCGTCACCGAGCATCGATGCCACAACACTTGGCAACGACAAGTCGTTTCCTGTTTTTGCGACGAGGACACGGCGCCACCCCTCCCATGCGGGGCAGGCAACGAGCGTGTGCTCCGCCGTGTCCAAGTCGCAACCACAATGGTGGCTCTCTACCGTCGGCTCGGCTCCGATCCGGTGCAGGAACTCACCGAAGCAACCATGCCCAGTGAGCACCTGCGTGAGCCGGAAAGTGAGGCGTCCTCTGTCACGATTCACCCAATTCACAAGAACCGGGCGAATCGCCTCGACGATCCTACGACCAGCCGAAGGATCGGCCAGCCGTCTGGACCATGACTCCAGCACGAACCGCCGAGATTGAGCCCTCCGCGCTCTGACCACACTGGGACTGGGACGTGCCACGCCCCGGACACAAAGGTCAGCCCGCCACTGATAGTCAGCAGCGAGCGCCTCCGCCTCCATGACCCAAGGTGGCGTCCCAGCCAGTACACACGCCGCCTAGAAAGAGATGGTGCGATAACCACGGATGACCCTGACCGTAATGGTGCGTTGCGGCCGTTGCAGCAGTTCGCTACCCCCACGGCCAGGGACTGGCCCCGCACGGGCGCCCCGTATAGGGCCATTGACCGCACCACCCCTGTATAGAGACGGCGCGTCACCTGGTCAGGCCCCCCGACGTTGGGAAGGAGCCGGCTTAACGCGCCGGCCACCCCCAACAAACGAGGGACCAGATTCTGAAAGTGAAGATATGACTCTTAATGGGATCAGAATAACGGTTATTTGATATTTTATACGAGAACGTAAGACTGTGTAAATCGTACAACAAAATTTAAGAATTTGTTTTTTTTTTGGTTTAACTTCTTTTTTTCCCACTGTTACTTGAAAGTAAAATACCGCAGAAATGTTCTCTTTAATCGCAACAAGCGACTCGTGGCAACTCTGAAAATATTAATCTCGTAATAGGGACGTTACCGCGTTACTGTATCTGAAAAATTACATCGGATGTCCGCATTTTTGTAAGTGCAAAGACTTGTAACACTCGGTTTGAGGATGGCGATTTGTTATTTTATTGGAGTGGTTATAGCTGTACGGCAGTGAAATCCTTTTTAGTTTATTGAACACTAGAACTACGGAGATATATCGAGTTTGATTCACTCGTGTTCTAGTAAGTGATAGGATCGGTTATTTTTTTTAGTTGCCTTCGAAGACAGATCAATTAACAGTTCATTTTATAGTAGTTAATGATGTAAATAGACTAACGGGGCGATTAAAGATAGCAGCGACCCGTTTTTCGTAGAGCCTCTTTTACGATACAAAAGAAGGCTTTTCTTCCCTACCTATGCTGATAGCCTTGAGAGGCTATTTCAGCTTCACCATAGCGTCTAGGTCAGCTCTCATACTCAAGGAGGCGTTGCTAACATTGGCCCTAGCAAGAGCAGTGATTTGCAGAATCTACCACAGGATCGGAAACGCGACCCACTGAGAAGATCCGGCGAGAAACTCAGTGGGCTGTGTCTATGGGTTAATTTACTAGCCGAACACTTCGTCGCAAGCAACGGGTTCGGTGGTGACGGTGATGGTGCTTGAGGTACCTGCCTAAAAGCACCGTTAATGGATCGGCAGGTTCCGTAGTGACGTGTTTAGGGCGAAATCGACTGTTTACCATTCGGTCCACAGGATCGGGTAAATAATTTCCGGCAAAAGTAAGCGTTAAGCTGGTGCTATTATAGGCCATGCTGATTGAAAAGAACTTGCACGTTAAAATATAATCTTTCGGATATACGCATAAAATCAGCTAGTATCAAGTTCAACACTATTGTGTAGAGAGAGATCGTCTAAAAAGCGAACAAATTTACTGGGCAAGAGATAAGCGAGCGTGACATTCGCAGAGAAAAAATACACTTCGTAATGCTTATGAATAAACGTCCATTTTCTTTGCGCTTTCGTGAAAGTTATCTTTTTAAAAGCTCTTCATTGTGACGTTTGTGTAAACTGAGTTGTCCCCTTGATTATGTGACAATCATCACCATCACCACTAAATATTAAACTAACTAAAAAGTGGATTTTATAAACTAAAAAAGAAATATTAGTTCGCTTTAGATATTTCTGTGTTAGGTTTACTTCTATTCCTTCCATGGGTGGACGAGCTCGTTGCCGGCCTGATGTTAAGTGGCTACCGGAGTGCATAGACATCAACAATGCAAATGCTGCCATCAAACTTGATACATGAGTTCTAAGTCTTAGTTCTACAGTACAACGGCTGCCCCACCCTTCAAACCGAAACGCATTACTGCTTCACGACAGAAATAGACGGATTCTTGAATAGGATTCCTGCCTATTTAGGGTATCATTCAAAGTTCCACCCCGCGCCTTTTATTTTAATAATGGATTCAACATGCGTTGTAGTTATATTAGAATAATAGTAATAATCAGGGACTAACATCGGCTCAAATTGTTTCAAAACACCGTTTTATATCTTCTCTCATTTTTCCCTTTTTTTGGGACCTACCCTACTCTATGTTATTAATTCTTAAATAAAACAAAACTTATTTAATTTAAAAGCGGTTAAATATTCTGTAATACTTGAGTACCAATTTCGAAGAGTTCAGTTAGAGAATTTATAATCATGAATTTAATATTGTACAAGTTGATTAATAGTGACGCCTGGGGTTGCCATATTGGTCGCTAGTGACACACTGTGTTGATTTATTTGGTCGACCCGTGATTTAGAGCTATCGACTGCTCCTGAAATAGTGCCCTTAAATTAATGTATCTGTTATGTATATATTTTGTTGCGTCTATTTCTTATACGTATCTTGAGGTGGCCAGGAACATGAATAAATGCGTTTACTTCTTCAAATACTAATTATTTTGTTTTTAATTATTGTAAAAATTTAAGTAGATTGACATGCGCGTCCATCTTTTTTCTTCGTGTATAAAAATTTGACAATTGGTGCCACGGTTTTTTTTTTTTTTTTTCTTTTTTAGCTTGCACGGTTTGTGCATTTAGCCACAGGTGCCACTGTTGCGTTCGCTGATTTCTCATTGGTTCGTGCGATATCACGTCATCGCTGGCCAATCACAGCCATCAATGTATGACGCGACGTTGATCCGCTAACAATAACAATTCCGAACAATTACATATGTAAATGGCCTTATTTTTTCTGTAATCCAACCAAACCTAAATAATTACAGTATTTTCTATTTTTAAATTAGAGTAGAACTAAATTCGTGAAGGAGTTGATACATAAAATTCTTCTCGGAATAAGGAAGGCTTTCAAAACGACCCCTGAAAAAAATGGAACGGACGCACCAGATGTCATGACCACGCTAAGGTTTAATTTATCACCGGGAAGTGTAGGGCGACAATCATAATTTAAACAAATGAGATATTCTATCGGAAATGAAGTTTCAAGTGAATCAAAACAAGCTTGTTTAAATGAAACATAATGTGAATAATACAAATTCCTTTTGAAATAACAATCAGTCCTGTTGACATGAAGAGCATATTGTGAGGTGATAGTTGCTTGCTTGGTTATTTTACACCAATAACGCCTACAACACGTCATCAACAATAAAATGAAATTAAATTATAATTCAGAAATAACAATTTATTTCATAATTTAATAATAACATATTTCTGCGTTTATTAATTAATCCTATTAATGTCAACTGATTCTTTAAATTAATACGCTGTGTATTTATTAAATTGTATTTTTTTGTTTGGTCACCGTACTCGTAAGCTTTCGATAAAGAAATACTCAATAGGATCAAAAGGAAAATTTTCAGTTTCATTTTGAAGAGAAGTAGTTTTATCTGTCGCAATTTAATTACAAAGTCGATGATATAGAAATAACTTTGAAATTAATTAAATGCTTTTTAGACGAAGCGTGATCGTTGGAATCGGCGTGTGTTTTGAAAACGTTTGGCTTGTAAAGTGCCTAACGTAGGTCACTGAAAAAAGCATGCGTATCCTTATGTCGTTGTTGTTAAGTTTGTTGTTGTCCTAGGGCCCTTACAAGCTGTCTCCACTTGTGGACTGTTAATTGATCTTGAATTGATTGCAACAAAACAAATATGAAATGAAGGTTTGGTTCTTTCGTTCAGTCTTGTAGATAGTTCAAGCAATAAGTGTATCAGTAAACAAAAATAAAATAGTACAAGTTAATTATTGATAACGTTTGCAGTTGCTATTTTAGATTTATTAGGAATATGATTACATTGTTATTTATTGTTGAAAATGTTGACTACGGACTTTATTTTGGAATGGAAAATATTGTAAACGAAAGATATCATGGTCACATTACACTGCTGTAGCTGCGATTCGTCGTGATGAGATTTTGCATGAAATTCAGGGAGAATCTCTTATTACTTTGCTTACATTTATATTGTGTTCCATATTCAATGTAAGTATCAAAATTTTAAAGTGCCTTGGGCCTGTTGTATATTTAATTTGTATATTGCGGGCTTTGTTTAGGAGACTGGGTATTTCTGGTTTTTTTTTCTCACATCTGATGTGCACGAACATAAAGTTTAGTAAGGAGTTCACCGTTCAAACTATCTTCAAAAAAAAAAAAAGAGTTTTGACATAAAGTGTCAGTCAATGTCAATTTAAATACTAGTGTTGTTAAAAACAATAAAATTTTAGTGAAAAAAAATGGAACATATAACTCGGAAATGCCTTCACCGTTGACTCGTAAGTTGTTGTAGCATAAGTCAAATATGACAATATTATTAATGTTTGTAAATTAGTTATTACAATACTTTTAAACTACATAGTTCGCAACTCCCTGTCCACTAAAGAGGAGCGGAGATTTTGTGCAATTTTTATATCGAAATAACTACATATATTAACTTATATCTATCCTCCTCCTCGAATCGTGTTCCTCATGTCTGAGGATCGTGACCACCATCACCCATGAGCTTCAATCTTAAGATGTTTTTCCACTTTATTGATTAACTTATATCTATACATATAAATAAAATTGGAGTTTGTTTGTAATATTGAAATAGCCTCTTTTTACTCATGCATATGAATCTATATACGGTACATCAATGATATTTTATATTATGTAAAAAGAAGCAGATATGTTTCAAGCGCACGTAAAGTGAAGACTCGAAAACCGGCCAATTGGGACGTTTCGTCTTTAGTCGCGTCTAAACAAATACAATAATAATAATATAACAAGTGCAATCGTCGATCTTTTTTATTCACGCGCTCATCCCATCTTTTGTACTTTTCATTAATGCTACTTGTCAACATGTATGTGCACTATATCGGTAGGTATGTAGATCTGATCGCGCCATATATAGATATATATGGCGCGATCAGATTTGAAGAGTCAGTTATTATGAAGATAACATATCTGTTGTATAAAAAATCATTGCGGTACATACACCATTATAACATTATTTAAAATTTTTGTNGCTCATCCCATCTTTTGTACTTTTCATTAATGCTACTTGTCAACATGTATGTGCACTATATCGGTAGGTATGTAGATCTGATCGCGCCATATATAGATATATATGGCGCGATCAGATTTGAAGAGTCAGTTATTATGAAGATAACATATCTGTTGTATAAAAAATCATTGCGGTACATACACCATTATAACATTATTTAAAATTTTTGTCTGTCTGTCTGTTTGTTTCGGCTAATCTCTGGAACGGCTGGACCGATTTTGACGGGACTTTCACTGATAGGTAGCTGATGATATAAGGAGTAACTTAGGCTACTTAGACTTTTTTAGACTAGCTTTGCCCCGCGGCTTCACCCGCGGTAGGACAATAACCGCGGGTAGCATCGCAGGACTCAGCTATCAATAATAAAATTTAATGTTTCCGAAACGAAGCGAGGGTTGGTCGCTAGTATTATATATTTCTCGTCGTGGCCTAAGGGATAAGACGTCCGGTGCATTCGTGTTGAGCGATGCACCGGTTTTCGAATCCCAGGCGGATACCAATTTTTCTAATGAAATACGTACTCACTAAATGTTCACGATTGACTTCCACGGTGAAGGAATAGCATAGTGTAATAAAAATTAAACCCGCAAAATTATAATTTGCGTAATTACTGGTGGTAGAACCTCTTGTGAGTCCGCACGGGTAGGTTATTCCGCCGTGAAGCAGTAATGCATTTCGGTTCGAAGGGTGGGGTAGCCGTTGTAACTATACTGAGACCTTAGAACTTATATCTCATGGTGGGTGGCGCATTTACGGCGTATATGTTAATGGGCTCCAGTAGCCACTTAACACCAAAAAAAAAGTTGTAGTAAAGGATTTGTGTTTTTTAAAAATACTGACGCCATCCACCTCTTAACAGTACATTTAAAGATGGTATCTTCAGTATTTCATTCCTAGCATAGTTTGGGCTCTTGTAACGTATGTGTTTCTGATACCCGTAATACAGGAGACAATCTTAACCTTGAACGTGAAAAGTATTTTTGTTCTAACAACATTAAAACTGATTATACAGAAAGACAGCTGCGACGTAGATCATTATATACTTCGCTATATTACGCTACCAGGGCGATCGATGAAATAGCTTCGGATATGCAGACTGACCGTTGCCGGTGGTCCAGGAGTCTGCTGGGGCATAGCGTTAGTTGATTGGCCTTCTCTTTATTAGAATGCACGAGCAGATTGAAGTCATCATCATCATCATCATTATCCTGCCCTTCCCCCAGTTACCTGGGGTCGGCGCAACATGTTTTCTCCTTCCATACTCTTCTATCATATACCATTTCTTCGCTCACTCCCCTCTTACTTATATCGTCTATCACGCAATTCATCCATTTCTTCTTAGGTCTACCTCTTCCTCTATATCCTTCCACATTAATAGTTAACATTTTCTTACCAACCTCATTTTCATTTCGTCTCATCACATGTCCATACCATCCCAAACAAATAAAAAAAAAGATAAGATCACAGCTACGTGATGCTACTAACGACAAGAGAATGTCAATATCGGAGACTTCAGATGTGAAGTTTTTTATTTATTTAAAGTTTTGCGTTTGTAGCTAATAACTGATTTGTGAACGAGCTTGGAGTCAACGTGCTGTTCAGTGGCGTCTAGAGAGGGACGCCTTAATTGAGTTTTGGCTGTTCCATTCTTCGAACCTCAATCCTCGGACACAGCCCGCTGAGTTTCTCGCCGGATCTTCTCAGTGGGTCGCGTTTCCGATCCGGTGGTAGATTCTGCGAAGCACGGCTCTTGCTAGGGTTCGTGTTAGCAACGGCGTCAGCTTTGAGCTCACCGTGAGCTCACCGACTAGTTAAGGTTACGCTGAAATAGCCTCTCAAGGCTCTCAGATTAGGTAGTAAAAAATAATAAAAAAACTTCGAACCGGCACGTAAAAGTGTTTCGTGGCAGAAGTAGGCGAGCTAGTAAATCCTACGCGTAAAACTACCCTTTATTTTAATCTCGCCTTTATCATTTACGACGTGTTCAATGACGTGAATGATTTTCGTGGTCACATACAATTAAACCATAAAAGTAGTTTGAATTATGTACGTGTCTCGAAGACCAAAAAAACTCTGTATTCTATCATAAGTAATTTGCTAATTGATAGATCTTGCTGGTTTCATTTTGTTATACGATTGATTACCATCTCAAACAAATCCATCACTTTGAAAAAAGTTTCTGTACACACATAAGTTGCGTATTTTGTTAGAAAATTTTATTCGAAGTCTGATATATGTAGTTGCTTTACACTTGATGAGAGTACATTGAGCGTTTCTCTATCCATCACAATGCCGGATGGACTATATTTTTTCAAAATCTGGTAGCTTAATGTGTCGTGGTTATTGTGTGCTACAAATAAATTCAGTTCTGTTTTTCAGTTCAGCATGCCTCCGTTGTCTTCGTCAGAACGGAATGACTGTGGCACGGTTAATTTCTTTAAGGCGTGGCTAATTGAACACGAGGAGGCGCAGGTGCGTGTACATTAATGGTATGAAGGGGTTTTTTAAATGAAGGATTACTGGTGGCGCGTAGGCCTGGCCTTTATAGTTTCACCAGGGCAGGTGAGCGAGCAAAGCCTAGGCCAGGAGGAATAGGATTTTACTCTGACTGGGTTGTGACCCCGGATGGAGATCGGACGTCGGGTGTAACAGTGCAGGGGGGTCGTTTAGTGCGGTAGGGCCCTAAAACATCCTTGGGCCCGCGGTTCGCAGTCGCGGACCAGTCCCACAGGCACGCGGACCTCATAGGAGGTTCGTACCTCGGCCCGAAAAAAAAAGGAGGAATGGGATTGACTAACAGCTGCTCGAGCGCCTCCAAAGGAAATCTAACAAATGAAGAATAGCTGCTTCGTGAATGAGATATGAAGGGTGGTGAGAGTAGCAATAGTTCAATTGAAGAAGATAAGTAAATTGCTCCTTTATACAGGTGATGTTGGCCAGTTTCCTGGTGGTGATTGGTCTGTGGTGGCTGCTCCGTGCTGTCCTGACGTTGTTGGTTAATTTGATTATACCAGTGCTCGTCGTGGTTTTGGCTGTTGTGAGTGAATTACGTTTATTTCGTTCATACTTCAGTTGGAGTACTAACTAATGCTTAGATAAGATGTCAATTTTACGCACGACCTTGCTGGAGCATATGGCAAAGCATAAGGGCGAGTGCTTTTCACTCTCCGCATCAGCTAGATAGGAACTTTATTCGATCACACCTATCACCTCTTCCCTGAAAATATAAGGTTCAATTTTCTCTGTTACTGAACTTAACCTTTTACCCCTTAACCGTTTCCGATTGATGCAGTTAGGTATACCGTGGGGTGCAGTTGTCACAATCGAATCAGTTGGATCGACATGGTATTGTTAGTCCATCGTCTGAGATATTTGAGGCACGATGACTGCCGAACCGGTGTTTTATTTTGAAAAATAAACCTCTTAATTTCATACATACTTCAAACTAATATAAAAGTAATTTACAGATTGATTTTTTTACTAGTTTCACGTTTTTACGAATCAAAACTCTATTGGTATAAACATAAAGTTGTGTTTGCAATTTTAGGTCTGCGTACCTCAGCTCCGTGCGCCGCTATTGGGACAAAACTATCCGGCTCTGGCGAATCTATTGCGAAGTATATTGATGAAAATGGCGGAAAATATCAAAACGTGATTTATTTGTTGGAAAAACTTTTCATTTGGTTAAGGAATAGTTGGAAATGTTGTTTGAAATAATGAAGTTGAATTTGGGTTTACTGAAGTTTGAATTTGTTTGCGAGAATAGACTTAATTGTGATTGAAAGTTTGTAGCCTGTATGTAAAGTAAAAAAACTTGCCACTTGCGAGAGATATTAGATTCGATACTGGGTACTTGTTATTGTCTATTTAGATGGGTAGAAGAGCTCATGGCCCCCCTGGTGTTAGATGGGTACATAAGCCCATAGACATACACAACGTAAAAGCCTCCACTCATCTTGAGTCATGAGTCTTAAGCCTCAGTTTGGTAGTACCACGACTGCCCAACTATTCAAACCGAAATGCGTTACTGTTTCACGGCAGAAATAGGCAGTAAAAAGTTTTGACTATGTTTTTAATTTAATCCTAACTTACATGAAGTCGTCGTGGCCTAAATGATAATACGAGCGGTGTATTCGTGTCGAGCGATGCACCGGTGTTCGAATCCCAGGCGGGTACCAATTTTTCTAATGAAATACATACTTAACAAATTTTCACGATTGACTTCCACGGTGAAGAAATAACATCGTGTAACAAAAACCAAACCCGAAAAATTATAAATTGCGTAATTACTGGTGGTAGGACGTCTTGTGAGCCCGCACAGATAGGTACCACCGCCCTGCCTATTTCTGCCGTGAAGCAGTAATGCTTTTCGGTTTGAAGGATGGGGCAGCCGTTTTAACTATATTTGAGACCTTAGAGCTTATATGTCAAGGTGAGTGGCGACATTTACGCTGTAGATGTCTATGGGCTCCGGCATCCACATAACACCGGGTAGGGTCGTGAGCTCGTCCACCCATTTAACAATATAAGGAAAATACACACGATTTTGTCATTAATGATTATGATTCTTGCAGCTCTGTTTCTTGTTTGCTCCGAGCAAATACCCAGTTGGATTAAAACTGTGCCTAGTACACGTGTCTGCTCATAATCGGGCCGTCTGTCAAATTTCTCAGATATTGTTCTCGGGGGGACGTCAGTTGCTGGAATTATTGCTTTTCTTTCGCCATTGTTTCGCTGAGAGCACTCTCGGGAATCCTTTAGGGCATGTTCATATGAACGTCGGTGAACTACTTCCAGGAACAAGAACATTTCATAAAAATTCTTTTAGAAACTTTCTTGCTAAAGTACTTAATAGTTTTGTTTACGATATGAAGCAGCTTGACTCGGCTGAAATGTATGAAACGAATTGCCAATGAATACCAACGCTCTACATATTTCTACAGTGGAACAATATCGCGTGTCAGTTTGAAGAGTGGGACTATTGTTGGGCGATAAACTTGAGAATTTGAACTCATGTCTCAAGGTACATGGTGGTAGTTTCGTTACTAATATCCACGGGTCTGGTAAACAGAACACCAGGGGGCTGTGAGTTCGTCCACTTATGTAACTAGAATATACATATTATGTATAACGGCGCGCGATATTTTTACATAATGAATATCAGTCAATTTAAAGGGATCTATCTAATTTATTATATTATTTGAATTACGATTAATCGTCTTGTATTCGACTGAATGGTAATTTTAATTAAGAGCAGGTAGCCCTAAGCTGAGTTTGTCGTTTGGCGTTTGTCATGGCGTGCGAACGTCAAGTCATTCTATTCTCTTATTGACAGCGGTGACACGCGGTGATCATTCGCAACGCATTGACTCTAAATCATTATTAATGCAATCCCTAGTTGTTTTAGTAGTTTAGACATCTATATACGAGTAATTAATATAATGAAAAGTCAAGATTACAGTCTATATATTTCAATGTTTCCTGTAGTTCAATGACCGTGGATGCATGTATTGACGAGTTCACAAATCGATAAGCATACGCGACTGCCTCTTTTTTCTTCCTACTTATGCTGTTAGCCTTGAGAGGCTATTTCAGCTTCGCCTTGACGTGTAGATGAGCTCACGGGGCTCAAACTGGCAGTGTTGCTAACACTGGACTTAGCAAGAGCAGTGCTTCGCAGAATCTACCGCCGGATTGGAAACGCGACCCACTGAGAAAATCCGGCGAGAAACTCAGTGGGTTGTGTCTATAGGATAATTTACTCTTGGAGCCCTTCGAGCGACGGGTTCGACGACTGCCTCTTCTTTCGACGCCCCTATTTATGCGGTAAAACAAAAATAGAGAGAAAAAGACGAAGGAAGAAAGAAAATAGAAGTGAAGTGAAGAGAAGAGTGAAGAAAGATGTCGATCCCATCCATCACCCAAGCCTGCCTGATACATCATCCAGCAGCGCATCACCCCTGTCTCAATAGACAGGGAGATTCAGCCCGGGCAGACGGGTTTCCCCGAGGCCCGTTCCGTGCCCCTGCAAGGGGACCCGACGACCCTTCTTCTTTCCTACACACAAGTACCGACACTGTGGACGCGTCGTAACACATTACGTCTCAAGTGAAGTAGCTCCGCGCTAGTCTCCTCACGGATGTCTACGTCACGTATCGCGCCGCTCGACCAGGCTTATGGAATTACGAATGATTTCAATTGTTTATTTGCTAAAATGGAACGTGTGTAGATTTGTTACTTAGTTTTGCACGGGGCACGCTGTAAGCACGCACGTGCTAGTACCGTCCTGAAACAGATAAACGTTTCGGCTTAATTAGTATAGTGGTTATTCGAAAACTACCTTTAGATGTTGGTGCTATATCAATAATTTATTAAGTTATAATTTGAATATGGTATTTCCTTCAGTTTTCGCGAGACGTAGACATAAATATGACTTTTTGATAGTTTATTCCTACGATTCTATTGTCATTATTGCTGTTGTTTTGTAAATGTCCAGAAATATTCTCAAAGAAATATAGATAGGTACGATAGTTAGAAAAATATTGAAATACCGACTAACACCTTAGTCGCCCGTGTGAGCACGGAAGCTGTGAAGTATTCGAATTGACGGAATTAATTTAGTGACAATACATAAACGTGAGATTAAATAAAAGTAAAAAAACTGACTCAAGTACGCAATTTGAATGTTGAAGGAACATTTTTTAAAGACAAACAACTTATTATTGTCGCCACAATTTTACCTTTAGATTGGTGTTTTTTAACGGTCTAATCGGGAGATAGTCGAGCGTATCTCCAAGATTCAAATTTTCCGATAAGTTATGGATTATGACTGCAGAATTCACGTTTTAAATTCTTCATCCACATTCTTCATAAAGTGAGTGCTACGGTGAGCTGTCTAGGATAAATTTTTAAGTATGAGATCGAAACACAAATTATCTTGGATTGCACGATTGCCTTTATGGACAAAGTGGTGGTCCTCATAAGTGGTGGCAAAGAAGCAGATCTTACTGGTGGTAGGACCTCTAGTGAGTCCGCGCGGGTAGGTACCACCAGCCTGCCTATTTCTGTCGTGAAGCAGTAATGCGTTTCGGTCTGAAGGGTGGGGCAGCCGTTGTAACTATACTGAGACTTTAGAACTTATAACTCAAGGTGGGTGGCGCATTTACATTGTAGATGTCTATGGGCTCCGGTAACCACTTAACACCAGGTGGGCTGTGAGATCGTCCACCAATCTAAGCAATAAAAAAAAAAGCAGGACGTGGGATGCCCCAATACGTAGCGCCAATAAGGATGTTGCTAACAGCTGGCTTCCATAGGACGCTAACTGTTGCTCAAAATTACGTGTCGATTTTAAAGGCATTGAGATATAGTAGAAAGGAGTAATTTCGAACACGATATCAATTATACACAAAAGATACAAAATATTTCGTACAATTTATTTTTCCTACTAGCTCGTATGGTCAACAGAAATAATACACATAGTTATCATTTACGCCATAACTTGGGCAACATATTGCAAGGGCAGCCTCCTCCTAACAGTGTATCGCTCATTTATGATATTAGTTACAAAACGGAGATTACATATATGATTGGTTAGTCTTGTTATTTTATAATAATAATAATAAAAATCATTTATTGCCTTTCACATCACAGAAAATAAAATGAAATACAAATAATAGAAAAGAAAAAATAGAGAAAAAGGCAAAAGGAGGTGGCTCTCAGCTATTGCTGTTCGAGGTTGATAAATCGAACAGCGCTGATTTTCAGTCACCCCCATTTCCCTTTGGTTCTTTGCGGGAATGAAGGCTAATTACGTGTGTACATACTTAGAATATGGTATAAATTAGTAAAACTAGTAAATTATAAAATTATTTTCAGGTATTATTGTTATAAGTGGACGAAGGTTTATTAAAAAACTTTTTTTTATGGAATTGATGAATTACCTTATAATTTGATTGACGGTTGATAAATAAAATAATCTGTTGCTGTACACATCTGCTCATTAGTCTGTCGCTTATTCATTTTATTAAATTATTTTGGGACGTTTTGGCGGGAACGCGATGAGTGAAGTTGTGTGATTTGTTTTATTTTGTCTATTTAGCGTTTCTTCGGGTTTAAATGTGTAATAATGGTGGTTTATTAACTGCTTAATATCTGTGAAAGTGCACAAATGTGGGAAAATGAAACAAAGCCGCTGGACGTAACTTCTCGGGATCCTCCAAAAAGTCCACTGAAAAAATCTTAGTAAATGACCACCATTTTACTGAGATTATATTTCATCTCATATCATCTCATTTAATTTCATGCCAGTTGATTAATGTCTCAAATTAATCATCTTCATTTCATTTCACTCCATAATATAATTTTTCATAAAAATATGATTAAACATTAAAATAAGACATGACTTAAAGGTCTCAGTTACCAGGTCATAAAATCCCTTAAAAAAAATTAAATTATTTTTTTAAATCTGTATCTGTAGCTCAAGTTGATACATGAAAAAATTATTTAGCGATTCACATGGAATCTACTTGGCATTTAGTTGACTTTAAAGCGTGGTTCTGAAAAAAAACCCATTCGCCTTAGTAGAATGAAATAATTTGAAAAGAAATTTAGAAAATATAATCATTTCTTTCCTTTCATTCGAAAAAAAAATAG